GTCGAATCCATATCTGAGATATTATAAGTTGAATCAACCTTACCCAAGCCTCTTAATCATAGATCGCAAACTCAAATTAGGTCTCCTCTCAGATCACAAATTGAACTGAGGACTGAAGGAAGAGGGAGAACCTCTGTTAGAATTTTAGTCCAGTAAACAAGTGAATGGAGTATGGTAAAGGTGCATGAAGCCTTTGGTTTCTTCAATTCTAGGGTTTCTAGAAGAGAAATGGAAGGTTTGACTGACATTGGATGTGAAGGAGGGGGTGGCGCCGGGAATCATGGCGGTTGGTGGCCGGAATATATTGGCGGATAGTGCTCCGGCGGCTGAGGTGGCCTTTGACATGGCTATGAAGAGAAGCTGTGTTTAGAAGGGGAGGAAAGAGGTGAAGAAGATGGGAAGAGAGTGGGTGGAGAAGGTGGGAAGATTTAGTTAAGAGTATATAGTCTGATAAAATATTTAAATAATAAATTTTGTCCTTTATACAAGACTTCATAATTTTGAGGGGGTTTAGAAAGTATAATTTTTTTCCTAATCCTTTTAACAATGAAAGGAACGTAAGGGGGGTTTATAACCAAATTTTTCAAGAATGATCCTACTTAAGAGCCTCATCTTTATCCAAACAGAAAACCTCAACTTATCTAGGACTCTTGTCCTCTATTCAACAATCACATATTCTGATATTAATGCACCATATCTCGACAATATCATAACAACCTCAGTAACATGGCTCATCCACGAGACACCTCGTATGATCACCTCGGCCACATGGGGCAGCCTAAAAATTTATCCCCACATAAACTTATCATAATAACAATATATTATTGTTGAAATACAATATTTGAGAGTAAAAAAAATAATGAACAAAAAGTGTAGAAATTATTAGAAGCATTTTTCTTAAGAATTTTTACAATATTTTTCCGTAGTTTTTTTGAAAAATTTCTTCAAATTATGCTAGAATTTCATAAACGTCTCAAACATGTCTTAGTTTTCATTTTTTTTATTTTATTTTATTTCAAGAGCTTCATCTCCACTTTAAAATGAAACTACCGAGAAATTTCTTCAAATTATGCTAGAATTTCATAAACGTCTCAAACATGTCTTAGTTTTCATTTTTTTTATTTTATTTTATTTCAAGAGCTTCATCTCCACTTTAAAATGAAACTACCACCAAATTATTTTATCTTGAAAAAATTGGACGGTTTCGAATAAACTATTTGTCCTAAGAAAATGAATAGTTTATCTTTAAAATTATATTTGTTATTTATTTTTTAAATAAATATGATAAAATTATATTAAATATAGGGCATGCTTTTTGTGTTTATATTTGAAGGAACACATATATTGTGAGTACAGTCAATTTCACAAACCAATCTTTAACACTTTCACATGATTTTAGCCCTTAAATTATTTATTTGTAAATCTCACAAATATACGATTATTTTTTGGGCACTGAGTCTATAAATTCAATTTTGAATTTTCTTTCTCTAAAAGTCTATACTCTAAAACACTTTGTCCATGAGGACAAGTTTCTGCAAAATGACCAAACTATCCCTTCATTTCCTTGTTTCTCTAAGGTGTTTTATATCTTGTTTTTCTCTCAAATCTCTCTCATTCTTCTTAGAGACCTCACATTTCTTTCTCTCTCTAGCTTATTTTTTAGATCACTACTTGTTTAGTTACTTTGAAATTATCAGTTGAGAGGGTGATTTATGATCAGGAGTTGGGCCGAGGTAACGGCCGAGCAGATTGAGAGTCCAACGGTGCATGGGGCCGAGATGATTGACCATCCGCCAGGAAATGGGCTGCCAGAACCTAGGCCGGGCAGAACTTGGGGCAAGCGTGAGCCGCCCCGGCCCAAGAAGGAGCTCGGCTAGACAGCGCTTGGTTGGACCGAGCTGCCCGATCAGGGGATGGCTGAAGCCAGACAAGCTGAGTGACCAGCGCCCGGTAAGGCGTGGTCGACCGAGGAGACTGTTTGACCGGCAGGAAGGTCGACCAAAGGAGGTACCCAGGCTAGGCTTTGCCGGGATGCCGCCTAGCCCGGTCCTCCATGTGTTTATCCGGTTAAGCGCATGGGTATGAAGCATGGCATGGCCGTGGTAGAGCAGCTCGGCTGCCGAGCTCCAGCTGTGAAGTCAGGCAGTTGAGATTAGGTGATGTTCAGCAAGGTCTATGCTGACAGATGGGATAGCAGAGCCATGTGTCAGGAGATGACTGGGAGTGGGTAAGGGGCTCAGAAGGTATATAAGCTTGTCTGCGCCTCCCATAATGGACACACGAACATCTCTGTAAGGAATTCTTACACTCAAACACTCTCTCCCTTCTCTCTATCCATCCTAAGGTGTGTGCTAACTTGATCGTCGGAGGGTTTTTCCGGCCACATATCGCCGGGTAGCTCACCGTTACTTGCTCGCAGGTGATCGGACATCGACGGAGCTCGGAAGAAAGGAGTACGGGCTTGCCGGAATATTTGCTCCCCGTACATCAGTGTTTCTCCAAGTCATGAATTTCTCAATTAATTTTTGTGAATTTTTTAGATCACTGGTTGTTTGGTTGTTGTGAAATCATCAGAGATGAACGTTTAGAGATGGAGGTACGAGAAGAGAGTGAAGAAAAGATGTGTAGCTTTGCAAACTTTTGTTTTGCAATTGGAGAAGTGAAACAAAGAGGAGTGGTAGTCATCGCCATCGTTGCAATTGCAGAGCTCTGTGTGTTGCCTTTTATGGTTGTCACTTTTGTGAACTTGAGTTACTATTCAAGTATATTTATTTACACAAAAGGATTATAGAAATGCAAGTACAATTCTTATTCGAAGTATTCTGAAATGCACAGATCTCTCCCTATCTAAAAACATAAGCACATTGCTGTATCAAAATATGAAAAATTTGTACAGATAAAATTTGGATAGAACATTTGTACAGATAAGATAAATTTTGAATAGATAAAATTTGAACAAATAAAGCAGATAAGAGGGAAAAATTAAATAGATAGTTAAAAAATTTGAACAGATAGATAGATATAAATTTGAACAGATAAAATATAATTTAAACAGATATAAATTTAAATAAATAGTCAAAAAAAAGTCAATAGATAAAAAAATAAATAAATAAATAAAAAATCAACAGATAAATTAATGGATAAAATTGAAAACAAAATGCCTTCCAAAACTAATAAAAAGACTTCTCACCAAACTATTTTACAAAGGTGGACAAAAAAAAATATCCACTTGACCTAATACTTTATACCTTCTTTAGATTGGATTTTTGAACAATTTTCCCTTATCTTTTATTAAATTTGTAATTATTTTTTACTAAATTTTTATTTTTAACAAGCTATAAGATTATTAATGAGACATTGAAGGAAACTAAATTTGTGAATCAAAATTATTTTGATTATAAAAAAGTGAAATTGTTGCATAATATTTTTATAATCGATCAACTATTTCTGCAATCATTTTATTCAATTTGTTCACAATCGACTACATATCAGTCAAATGTTTCTTTCAAGTTCAAATCGACTACATTGTAGTCATGTGATTCTTTCAAATTCGAAATATACATTGATCTCTCCCCGTCATGAATCACTAGCAATTACAACCAAGCTAAATGTTAAATGATAGCTCATAACCAAACAAACACAAAAGTGGATGTAAAATCCATCCAAAGTTGTTAAGATATTATCCGAGAACGAGTGGGTGTCAAATCCAATTTGTTAGCCCATTAACCATCCGTGAACATGTCCATTATGGCCTCATTTAGAAACAGATTTTTTTAGTAATTTTTTGACTTTTTAACTTTTTAAGTAAAATATGATGTAAAAAAAATTAGTATGTTTGGAATGATTTTTTAAATTTTTTTGAAAATATGTGCAAAAAGTAGAGAGAAAAAGAAATCTTTGACTTTTTAATATAAGTTGTTGACTTTTTGATGTTCAGCAAGGTCTATGCTGACAGATGGGATAGCAGAGCCACGTGTCAGGAGATGACTGGGAGTGGGTAAGGGGCTCAGAAGGTATATAGGCATGTCTGCGCCCCCCATACGGGACACACGAACACTCTGTAAGGAATTTCTTACACTCAAACACTCTCTCCCTTCTCTCTATCCATCCTAAGGTGTGTGCTAACTTGATCGTCGGAGGGTTTTTCCGGCCACACACCGCCGGGTAGCTCACCGTTACTTGCTCGCAGGTGATCGGACATCGACGGAGCTCGGAAGAAAGGAGTACGGGCTTGCCGGAATATTTGCTCCCCGTACATCAGTGTTTCTCCAAGTCATGAATTTCTCAATTAATTTTTGTGAATTTTTTAGATCACTGGTTGTTTGGTTGTTGTGAAATCATCAGAGATGACGTTTAGAGATGGAGGTACGAGAAGAGAGTGAAGAAAAGATGTGTAGCTTTGCAAACTTTTGTTTTGCAATTGGAGAAGTGAAACAAAGAGGAGTGGTAGTCATCGCCATCGTTGCAATTGCAGAGCTCTGTGTGTTGCCTTTTATGGTTGTCACTTTTGTGAACTTGAGTTACTATTCAAGTATATTTATTTACACAAAAGGATTATAGAAATGCAAGTACAATTCTTATTCGAAGTATTCTGAAATGCACAGATCTCTCCCTATCTAAAAACATAAGCACATTGCTGTATCAAAATATGAAAAATTTGTACAGATAAAATTTGGATAGAACATTTGTACAGATAAGATAAATTTTGAATAGATAAAATTTGAACAAATAAAGCAGATAAGAGGGAAAAATTAAATAGATAGTTAAAAAATTTGAACAGATAAATAGATATAAATTTGAACAGATAAAAAATAATTTGAACAGATATAAATTTAAACAAATAGTCAAAAAAAGTCAATAGATAAAAAAATAAATAAATAAATAAATAAATAATCAACAGATAAATTAATGAATAAAATTGAAGACAAAATGCCTTCCAAAACTAATAAAAAGGCTTCTCACCAAACTATTTCACAAAGGTGGACAAAATTTTTTGATAAATCCTATTTATAACTGTTTTGTTCCATAAAACCCAAACTATTTCTGAATATTCCATTAGGTCCATTAATTGTTAAAGGACGAAATAACCCTCTCCGCCTCTCCCGCGTGAAACCGATTCTGCAAAAACCCATTCCTATTCGAAATATTCAATCCACAAAATTTCCAAAACAAAAACTCAATCCACGAAACGATACTGATATTGCCTCCAGTAACCCTAGATTCACATCGCCCCACCAACGTCCTCGTCGTTCACCGTCGACCATCGACCCCAGATTCCTCTTCGTCTCACCACTGCGAAGCTTCACATTGGAAGGAGGGTGCTTCGTCGTTCAAAGATTCTTGTCGCCCCATTGAGTTTATTTTATCCACTGAGTGTGATCCATACCCACCAACCATGACGAACAAAAGTAAGGAATACCATTCCACCTTCTGCTTTTCAATCATAATGTCATCATTGATGTATACATACACCTTCTGGTTTTCGGATTTGAATTTGTAAACATAGATGTTTTCGGAATTAATTTTGTAAAAATAGATGATGTGAACATTCACATTAGTGTTGATTACTCGCTAAACTTACAGTAGTAGACACTGATGTGAATATTCACAGCAGTGTATAATGATGTGAACAGTCACATCAGTGTATGATGATGTGAATGTTCATATTACTATCACTGTTGATATTGTTCATTTTTTATGTCCACAGAACCCCCAAACTTCACTCAACAATGTGATGGAATGTGATGTAAATATTCACAGTGTGACATCAATGTTGGATTTGTTTGTGTTGTTGGGTGTTGTTTGGTGCAGTTGGTTCCCCCCTATGATTTTTAGCAAATTATTACATAATGTGATCACCCATGTAAACATTCACATTGCCCTCTAACTGTTGTAGTTTTCGGGATTTGTTTTTGCACACATGAATGATCTCAACATTCACATTACTATTGAGTACTGGGTAAACTTAGAGTAGTACACACTGATGTAAACATTCACATCATGTGAATGTTCACATTAATGTCAGAACCCCCAAACTTCACTCAACACTGTGATGGAGTATGATATAAACATTCACATTGTGACATCAATGCCCAAGTTGTTTGTGTTATTGGGTGTAGTTTGGCGATGTTGGTTCCCCCCTTTGATTTTTAGCAAATTATAACATAATGTGATCACCCATGTAAGCATTCACATTGCCCAGTAACTGTTGTCATGTTCGAAATTTATTTCTCAAACATGGATGATGTGAACATTCACATTACTATTGAGTACTGGGTAAACTTAGAGTAGTACACACTGATGTGAACATGTGAATGTTCACATCAATGTCAAAACCCCCAAACTTCACTCAATACTGTGATGGAGTATGATGTAAACATTCACATTGTGACATCAATGCCCAAGTTGTTTGTGTTATTGGGTGTAGTTTGGCGCTGTTGGTTCCCCCCTTTGATTTTTAGCAAATTATAACATAATGTGATCACCCATGTAAGCATTCACATTGTCCAGTAACTGTTGTCGTGTTCGAAATTTATTTCTCAAACATGGATGATGTGAACATTCACATTACTATTGAGTACTGGGTAAACTTAGAGTAGTACACACTGATGTGAACATTCACATCATGTGAATGTTCACATTAATGTCAGAACCCCCAAACTTCACTCAACACTGTGATGGAGTATGATGTAAACATTCACATTGTGACATCAATGCCCAAGTTGTTTGTGTTATTGGGTGTAGTTTGGCGCTGTTGGTTCCCCCCTTTGATTTTTAGCAAATTATAACATAATGTGATCACCCATGTAAACATTTACATTGCCCAGTAATTGTTGTCGTTTTCGGAATTTATTTTTCAAACATGGATGATGTGAACATTCACATTAGTATTGATTACTGTGTAAACTTACAGTAATAAACACTGATGTGAACATTCACATCAGTGTACAATGATGTGAATGTTCCAATTACTGTCAATGCTGGTTGTTGAATGTTGTTTAGTGCTTCGGGTTCCATCCTCTGTGTTTCAACCAATTATATGTGCTCATTTGAACACACAGGTCTTCCCCATAAAGTTGATGGCAAGCGAAAGCGAGGGGAATCCCGTTCCAAAACCAAGCCTGATCAAACAGCTGTTCCTGAAGAAGTGAACATGAAAAAAGTAAACTACCGGTCAAATATAACTGGATTGGTCAAACTGTTAAAGGATACAAAATTTACAAGTGGCCAATTGAAGTGCCTTAGAAAAACACCGTTCTGGCCATTATTTGATAGCTTGATCAGTAACGAAATCGACCTCAACCACTGCATGAAATATGATGATGTCATTGTACGTATAGTACAAACATTCAAGCAATCTAGTGGAAGGTTTTACATTGGGGATAAGAACATCCAGATTTTTAGAAGCGACGTATCACTGATTTTTGGGGTGGACTGCGGCACCAAGTCGATGGACCTCTCTTATGGTGCAAAACCAACAATCGGCATCATACACCGAATGTGCAAGGATGTTAGTCGGTTAAGTGCTGCCAAAATACGAGAAATTCTGAGGGAAGTATTGAAGGGCACAAAAAAACATGACGATGAGGAGGTCGCAAGATTAGTTTGCATGTATGCATGCGTCAAGCTATTCTTTTCTACATCCGGAGAAACAATTGGATGGGTTTTCTACTCATACATGGACCCATTACACAAGATGATCGAGTATGATTGGGCTAAGAGCATCCGGGCAACCTTGATGGGTTCATTGGGCCAAAACTGCTGAAAACCAGGACGAGTCACCGGATGTGTAATGTTGTTAATGGTAAATCTCATAAAACTTATTCTATGTTTAATATGAACATATACGGGCTCTGAACACTCTGATGTGAATGTTCACATTTCTCAGCTTTGGTATGGAAGTTGACAACATTGATGAAAACATTCGCATTACTGTTTCAGTAATGTACAAACACACATTAGTAGATGCTGGTGTAAACATTCACATTAACAGATGTGAACATTCACATCAGTTGTATCACTCACATTACCAGATGTGAATATTCACATCAGTAACATCACTCACCATTAGCAAAATGTGAGCATTCACATAGTAATAGCACTGACATGAACAGATGTGAACATTCCCATCAGTGTCATCACCCACCATTAGCAAATGTGAACATTCACATCAGTAATAGCACTGACACTAACAGTTGTGAACATTCACATCAGTAGTATCACTCAACATTAGGAAATGTGAACATTCACATCAGTAACATTACTCCACATTAGCAGATGTGAACATTCACATCAACGGATATGAACATTCACATCAGTTTTAATTGATGTAAACATTCACATTACTGGCCTAGTGGTGCACTGTGAACATTCACATTACTGCACCAGTGGTGTAAACATTCACATCAATGTTAATTCATATGAACATTCAAATTACTGATATTTGTTATTTGTTTCAGTATTGGCTGTGTAAGCATACAACAATCTTACAACCCCGCAACCCCAATGCCATTCCACGATGCGTAAAATGGGACCTCACAACCTTACATAGCAACATGAAGTCCATAACTTTGGCTAAGCTAGGTTTAAATGAGGTAGAAGTACAACCAAATAAATTGTGCTTATTCACATAGTGAGACAAGGAACTATCTAACTAACATACTGTCTCGAAATGCAGGTATATGGCGGCAAGCTAATGGCATCACCAACTGAAGCGAAGATGTATCGTCATACAAAATTGAATGTGGAGCCAAAACCTGAGATTTTGTCAAGTGCAGTAGAAAAAAAATATAAAAGCAATGAGGATCAAAGCAAAGACAGTCAACGCAGTGATGACAGGGATGCATTTTCTGTCGATGCAGTGGACCTGAATGATGTTGGACATTATATCAACCCCAGCTGTAGCACCCCCAATGCTGAGAAAGGAATCATCATAGCACAACCAACTGAGCCCGACATTGTGGAAGTACTCATGAAAGAAAACCAAAAAGCTTGGGCTCTTGTACGGCAATGGGAAGCGAAATACAAACAGTTGGAAGAATCATGGGAGTTGAGGGCAAGGGTGATTGCTGCCCTTGAAGCCAAACTATTTGACCAATCGGGCTCATCCAATGTAGACATGGACATGAAGACTTACATGGAGTGGAAAGATACAGAAATTCAGCGGCTGACAAAGTTGGTCATCAACTTGGAATGTGAAAAAACAATACTTCAAGACCTTTTTGATGATCAGTCCGTACACATCATCACTCAAGTTGAAGCACAAAAGGCTCATGACAGCCTTAACAACAATCCCACTGCAGCATTGGAACACATTATCAGCCCCCCATCAAGGGTAAAGCGCATAAAGCAGAAGGTAAGGAAAGAACACAGGTTGGACGAGTTTGAATACCCCAACCTGCCTGGTCAGAAGAAAGGGAAAGAAGGAGCCGAACAGCAATCACATGCAGTCCAAATTGCACAAGATTTAGACAAGCAACCACCAAAAAAGCAGCCAACAAAGTCCAAGAAGTTATCCTTGAACAACAAACTAAAGGTCTGGGCTAACATGAACAAACTCAACAAGCAAAAAGTCCAAAATTTGCACAAGAACGGCGGTGATGAGTAAGTGATCTTACATATCCCCAACTGCTTTTTTTTCCATCATGTTCAGTTCACATACATACTTAATAAATTAGACCATTTCATAAATGTGCAATGTTGACATTAAAATTTTCTGTAATCACAATGCACAGGTTGCTAGTGTGGCGAGGGGACTCAAAGACTAAACATGTGTATTTTGATGACATCATACACCTCATCAAGGAAGAATCAATAACCAACAACGTATGGCAACTGTAAATGTGTACAAAACACACACACACACACACACACACACACACACACACACACACACACACACACACACACACACACACACACACACACACGCAAGCATCAAATTCGTAAGCCTAAAATCGATTTCTACACATGTTCCACAACCTTTACCCACCTAAATTTCAAAATCTAACAAGAAGTTTACATTTTCAGGGTGGATTGTGGGCCTGTAGTTTGTTACATCATGAGGGCGCATGTATATCGTGAAGATATTGTTGCCAGCCTAGATCGCTTTAAATGGTGTCAAATAAGAGACTCATTAGTACACCTTTTTCTGAACCACAGAAAGACAGTGCAATGTGAAAACCTATAGGTGGGGGGTGTCCACCTATCACTGTTACCCAAATCTGTTATCCACATTTAAGACAATTTAGTTTCAATAGATTTTTCATATTGGAGCAGACTAGCTTAATTGTAAATCAAGTCTATATCACTGCTTGTATAGATATTTTCTAGTCAACATATGTAAATGCATTTTCAGGCCTATTTTGCGTTGGTCATGCACATTGAGATTGTATTTTCTTTTTATTTTTTTGGATACACATGACATGATGTCAATGTTCACATCACAGAATGAGCGTACACTTTCTTCTATTTTAAACCATACTACATGGATGTGAATATTGCTTAAAGTGTTCATGTAACACAATATGACAGGTGTGAGTATGATATTTCTTAACACAAGTCAATATTCACATCTAACAATTTGATGATGTGAATATTCACATCATAACTTCTGATTATGCGAATGACAACAATGATGTCATGAATATTCACATCTTATGAGTTGATGATGCGAATGGTTACATTGATGTAAACATTGCTGTTAACAATAACAACAATGTGAACATTCCCACCACAGAAATGTTTGAAAGTTGAACAATGTGAACATTCACATAATGTGATTATATTACATAAGTGTGAATGTTAACAGCATGCATTCATCCAAAACACAACCAACATAAATGTCAGATTGATACCTTAAAAAAGTAAAAATAAAACACAAATCAAACACTAATGCATTATTATGTTTGCCAACCCAACGTAATCTTATTGCAACCCAATGTTTCCCAACACAACACAATCTTATTTCAAAAATGAATATAAGAATCCAATGTAAAATACAATGTTGAAATGAAAAAAGGTACATCTTATATCGGCTCCGTGCATGATTTTCGATTATGGCTCCCCAACTTATCACATCTCTCGCACCTTATTTGCTTTAGTTTCTCACCCCTTGATGGGATCCTATTCTTCTTCGGCCTTCCGGGTGGTCTTTTCACGGTTGGCGGGTATATAGTGAAGTCCGTGGGATCAAAAGGCGGCTTCTCCACCGATGGTATAGGGAATATGGCTCCCGAATAGGCTGCACGATATGTCTCTACATGAAAGTAATGTTCTACACAATCATTGAGATTGTAGCGGCTCTTCTGAATGGCAATAACAGCATGGTCACACGGGAATCCGTTGATTTGCCATTTGAAGCAAGAACATGTACGCCTCGCAACATCAACTGTAACAGATAGTATCGAATAAACTTCAAACACATCCTCGTTGGCTTTGCTAACTTGCAAGACTTGCTGTCATTGAACGAATCCATAAGCCTTGTTTCGAATGTCGAACAAATAATCTCATTCCATTTGTTTGCTTGGTCACGCCGTGCAGACATTTGCCGCATCAACTGAGTACGAATTTTGTCCACCATTTGAGTGATAGGAAAATTACGTGCTTCTTTAATCCAGTTATTAAATGACTCCGCCGCATTGGATGTCATCTCCCCATAACGCATGCCCCTGCACAATATATCACAAACATTGTACAATACGGAATTTAACAGGCCTGACCATTCACGTTGACAGATGTGAACGTTCACAGTACTGCCATTAGTATACACTGATGTGAACATTCACATCAGGGTATAATAATGTGAATGTTCACATCTGCTACCAGGTTTTAATAATGTGAATGTTCACACTATATGCTTATTACGTTGTCAACTTAAATGATAGACAGATGTGAATGTTAACAACAACAACAAAATATGACACGTGTCAACATTCAAATCTGTAATACATTGCATGACTATTTGACAAATTAACAGATGTGAACATGACATCAGTCATCATTAGCAAATGTGAACATTCACATCATTTACATTGAAGATGAAACACAATTCGAAGATTGTCACCATTCTAAACTGATGAAACACAATTCGAAGATTGTCACCATTCTAAACTAAAAATTCACATCACTACCATTCTAAACTTCAAAAATGGAACACCTTAGGAAACTATTATTACCTGAGTATGAATTTGCGCAGTGCTCAGGTGCTAAGTCCTTGAAAAAATTATGAGCTCGTTGTTTACCCTCCTCTTTTAATTTTGTAAGCTTTTCATGGAACCCTACCACAGTTGGCTCGTAGGCACAGTCACCCAAACTACTTACTAGGTGATCCCTGAATCCATTATCAATTCCTTTCATCCGGTCTCTTAAATTGCTCTTCAAGTGTTGTAAGCAATAACCGTGATGAGCCGATGGGAACACCTTTGGCATAGCTTCTAACAGACCAAGATTACGATCCGAAATAAAAGTAATATGGCGCTTCCCATCAACAACCTTCCCAAGTTCATGCAAGAACCACGACCAATTAGCCGTGGTCTCCGAATCAACAATTGCAAATGCAACAGGAAACAGACCTACAACACAACACCAATACACAACTGTTCACAATATTCCAAAGTGAATAGAAAAACAGTATAAACGAAACAGGTCATGTAAATGTTCATATGTACATTGCCCTCTTTACTATTGCTGTTTTTGGATTCAGGTTCGTAAACATCAACGATGTGAACATTCACATTAACGACCATTAATAATTCATTGTTGATTGTTGAGTCACTGACAATGTTAACATTCACAGTACTGTTCATTAATAGATCAACTAACATTAGTGCACACTGATGTGAACATTCACATCAGTCTGTAATAATGTGAATGTTCACATTTCTATCATTAGCATACAAAGATGTGAACATTCACATCAGTGCATACTAATGTCAATGTTCACATTACTTATAATTTAGCAATCACTCTTTCGTCCAGACTACGCTGCTCAGAGTGAATATTGACATGAATAGACAGGTAAAAAAAACTTCTAACCATTGTTCCCGTCTTTCGCCGTTGCCGCAAGTAGCTAACCTTTGTACTTTCCTTTGAGGAATGTTCCATCCAGGAATAATAAAGGCCGACAAGCATTGAACCCAGAAATACACGCAGCGAATGACACAAAGAAGCGACAAAACTGTTGACTACTCGCATCATAGTCAATATTGACATAACTCCCCGGATTGTACCGCATCACGGCATCCGAATACCACCACAACTGGTCAAACGATAACGAGTGATCTCCATGAATACCAGCCTTTGCTTTCTCCACACCTAACCATACGACATGGTAACTCACATCTAGCCCATAATCCCTCTTCAAAATAGTCACCACTTCACACGACCGAGTCAACGGCTTGTCCTTCACAATTTCAGATATGGTACTCGACACCAAATCCGAACTAACTCGCGGATTCTTCGATGTTCGGACATCCGTACCACAAGTATGTACATCACTAAACCTCTTGATGTAGAAAAAATCATTTGCTCGTTGTGCTCTACAATGTATAGCCCACAAGCACCCCCTCTCCTCCCGCATCGCACACACAACAGTAACTCTTGTTGTCTCGTTCTTCACGCATGTGAACTTAAACCCACATTGGATGGCATACTTACATAAAACGTCACGAAATTCTTGTGCACCTCCAACAAACCGTTGTCCTACATGCGTAATACCATTTGCCCAAGGGGCTGACAACAACACCTTCTCCTTATGGTGGCAAAATCTCCGTAGTGCATCAATTTCATCCTCAACCCCCACACGCAGCAATCCCAAACTACTTGACTGACCAATATCACCCTTCAACTCAACCACAACTTCTACATGTTGTACCCCCATTGATTTAGCAAGCAGTACCATGTTCTGAAATTCTTCCTCATTGTCCAAATGACACTTATTAATCCCAGGTAGTTTACAGAACAATGAAATAGAACCAGCAGACAACTCACCCCATTTCTCACACAAACACTCCACCAAACGAGAATAACACATTGCGCGGGCAACATTTATTACAGTTGTACTACAACCATATGTACACACCAATAGCATAAAGGTATCCATCTCCTGTAAAAACACAAAAACACAACAATGAACAGTAATGAAAATTGATATGAAAATTCACATTGTGCAAAAAATAGATGACTACGTGTACAGTTCAAGTGCTAAATCCATAATTCACAATATGAAGATGTGAACATTCACATTACTATTAACAAGATGTCAACATTAAGGAAACATCAAAGTACAATGAGAATATCAACAATCTTCACATAATATAATGATGTGAACATTCACATCAGTGTATGATGATGTAAACATTCACATCAGTGTATAATGATGTGAACATTCACATCAGTGTATGATGATGTAAATATTCACATTGATATTAACAAGATGTTAACATTAAGCAAGCATCAAAGTAAAATGAGAACATTAACAATCTTCACATAATATTAACAATCTTCACAGAGCCTCATTAAGCAAACATCAATTTAAAATGAGAGCATCCACATTTTTCACATATTCCACATTCACAAAATGTGAACATTCACATTGATATATATACTGATAATCAAATCATCCACACAGAGCCTCATTACGCATGCATCAAAGTCAAATGAGAACTACATATTCTTCACATAATACGAATGAACTCCCCTCCACATAACCACGTAAAATGCATATAATTGAAAAAACAGAGCATTCAATCCATATAAATCCAAAAACAGAGCATCTGATCCATTATACGAATGAAACCATAAACTGAACATGTATTCATAACCAAATTGATACTAACCTTGATCATGCAATCCTACAATCGTACAGAAAGTTGAAAAAAATTGATTTGAACTAGTTATAATCCGGCAAATGTAACAACCGAACACCCTCCTCTTCGTCGTCTTCACTCGCAAACCACAGAACCAGACTACAACAGCAAGGATGAAACCCTAGCACAACCAATCCTTGTAATAAGCATGCAAAACATAAACGTACCTCTCGGAATTGGATTGATGATGAAAAGCGTAAAATAGAAACTGCCAAACTGCATGAGCGAAGAAACAGGCACCTATTACGTATTAACACTGTACATATATATATACAGGGGCAAAATAGTCCAAGAAATTATATTAAATTAAAAAAAAAGGACCTTATGGAATAAAAAGAAAAGTTTATGGGACTAATTAGGTTATAATATTCTTTAGTGGACCTAATGGGTTATAACAACTCTAGAATGGATTTATCAATAAAAATCCCAAAAAAAAACATCCACCTGACCTAGTACTTTATACCTTCTTTAGATTGAATTTTTGAACAATTTTCCCTTATTTTTTATTAAATTTGTAATTATTTTTTACTAAATTTTTATTTTTAACAAGCTATAAGATTATTAATGAGACATTGAAGGAAACTAAATTTGTGAATCAAAATTATTTTGATTATAAAAAAGTGAAATTGTTGCATAATATTTTTATAATCGATCAACTATTTCTGCAATCATTTTATTCAATTTGTTCACAATCGACTACATATCAGTCAAATGTTTCTTTCAAGTTCAAATCGACTACATTGTAGTCATGTGATTCTTTCAAATTCGAAATATACATTGATCTCTCCCCGTCATGAATCACTAGCAATTACAACCAAGCTAAATGTTAAATGATAGCTCATAACCAAACAAACACAAAAGTGGATGTAAAATCCATCCAAAGTTGTTAAGATATTATCCGAGAACGAGTGGGTGTCAAATCCAATTTGTTAGCCCATTAACCATCCGTGAACATGTCCATTATGGCCTCGTTTGTAACTAGATTTTTTTAGTAATTTTTTAACTTTTTAAATAAAATGTGATTTAAAAAAAATTAATATATTTGGAATGATTTTTTGACTTTTTATAAAAATATATGTAAAAAATAGAGAGAAAAAGAAATCTTTGTCTTTTTAATATAAGTTGTTAACTTTTTAATTTTTTTAATAATTTTTTAACTTTTTCATTAAACCAATCGCTTTCCAAACGAGACCTATGTCTGTCTGAGCCCCATAATATTGATTGAAAATTTGACGCAAAGAACAGTGATAAGTAACTCCATTTTCTTACGGGCTGTTTTGAAAATGTGATTGAAAGTTGATTTTTTAGACTTTTTTTGATTTTTTTTTTTTTGAAGAAACGTGTAAAAGATGTGAGAGATGATGTAAACCAAAATAAATTAAAAACTAAAAAGTGACTTTTAACTCAATTTTCAAAGGAGCCTAAATAATGTTTCAATCTATTAAATATTAGGACAAATTACACAAAAAAATCAAAGATTTGGCATGTTTTTTCAAATCAAATCCCAAGATTTCAATTTCATCAATTTAAACTTTGAATTTCATTTCAGTGTCACAATTTACACCCCCTGTCTATTTTCGTCGGCTGAATTAACGAAAAACTCAATTTTTGATACAAAATCATTTTCTGAAGCAGGGTTTATATATATATATATATATATATGCAGAGGAATTGAGGTAATAAAACAGTAACGGAGGAGGAATAAAAACAGTAATTGAGAGGGAATAAATTTGTCAATTCACCTATTATTTTATATATAAATACATGTATATTAGACATATATACACATACATACTCCTACCTTATTTATTTTCTTTTCTTTTTCTTTTTCTTTTCTTCTATACGAAAAAAAAAAGCAGTGTGAAGTGCGTATATGTTACTCTCTGTCTACCTGGATGGTTGTTGACTTTTTGATTTTTTTAATAATTTTTTAACTTTTTCACTAAACCGATCGGTTTCCAAACGAGACCTATGTCTGTCTTAGCCCCATAATATTGATTGAAAATTTGACGCAAAGAACAGTGATAAGTAACTCCATTTTCTTACGGGATGTTTTGAAAATGTGATTAAAAGTTGATTTTTTAGACTTTTTTTGATTTTTTTTTTTTGAAGAAACGTGTAAAAAATGTAAGAGATGATGTAACTCAAAATAAATTAAAAACTAAAAAGTGACTTTTAACTCACTTTTTAAAAGAGCCTAAATAATGTTTCAATCTATTAAATATTAGGACAAATTACACAAAAAAATCAAAGATTTCACATGTTTTTTCAAATCAAATCCCAAGATTTCAATTTCATCAATTTAAACTTTGAATTTCATTTCAGTGTCACAATTACACCCTCTGTCTATTTTCATCTGCTGAATTAACGAAAAACTCAATTTTTTATACAAAATCATTTTCTGAAGCAGGGTTTATATATATATATGCAGAGGAATTGAGGTAATAAAACAGTAACGGAGGAGGAATAAAAACAGTAATTGAGAGGGAATAAATTTGTCAATTCACCTATTATTTTATATATAAATACATGTATATTAGACATATATACACATACATACTCCTACCTTATTTATTTTCTTTTCTTTTTCTTTTTCTTTTTCTTTCTTTTTTTTCCTTATTTTCCTTGTTCCCTACTTCCACAATAGCTACCTGTTACCAGCAAAAAAAAAATTGTATTTTCTTTCTTTTTTTCTTCTTCCTTCCCCTCCGTCTTCACTTCACCATTGTTGTGCATTGCAGCACCCATTTTCTCTCTCTTAATATATACATATACATATACTTCCATGGCAACCCAACGACATCAATGGCAGCACCTCATCTAGTATGGTCAAACTCAAAAGTGGATTTTACAACTAGTTGAAAGAGCAAATAATATATTGTCACATATATTTCCAAAAAAAAAAAAATAATAATCTATTAAACAAAGTAATTGAGATGAACGGAGAGCGTAAATTATGACATGGTTCAACGTTAAATTGATGAAATTTAAACTTTAGAGTTTAATTTGAAAAATACGTAAAATCTTAGATTTTTTTTTTTTTTTTGTAATTTACCCTAAATATTATTATAAAATCTGTGAATTTTTAATTACACGTAATTCAGTAAGACAATAATACTATCACATGATTATGGGTGATCATAGATCAAGTTGGGTTGAATAACATCTCATTCACCATCCATCCAAAATTAGACAGATTGGAAAAAATCAATCTGCATCCGCCGTCCACCAGTTTGGTGGATGCAGATTGAGCGGACCGTGTGGATTAGTGGATGGATGCGGTCGGTTTGGTGATTTGGACTTCACAAATTTTTGGCATTTTTTGAATTATAATTTATAACTTTTACAATTTCCAATAACTAGTAATCAGAAAAAATATGTATTATTTGTTTATAATAGGTCATGGCTCCATACATGCATATTTTTAAGGTATTATTTTTCATCTTTACAAAAATATATATTTTTTATTATTTCTACTCTATGTTATTACTTGTTAACAATTTCTTTCTTCTTTTTTTTTTTTTACCTTCATCTACGGCGGATCGGATTCATGTAAGTGCGGGATGATTGATCCGTCATCCGAACCATATCCATAAATTTTGTAATATTTCATCCCTATCCGTCTGCCGAAAGACACGCATCCATCCAAAATCAATTGGATTGGGTCAGCTCGGCTGGGTTAAACGGATCCATAATCACCCCTACGCATAACCACTTAACTATGTGTCTGAACCGAAATGTCTCATTTCAATTTTGCATTTATTTTACTTAGTACGAATAAAAAAAAGTCATTCCATTGAAATCATTCTAATAAGATGGACCTTTATTATCAAAATATTTCTCCTAAACTTTTTAATCATTCCAATATGCATATATTCCATGGTAGAAACACATGTCAGTTCCTCTCACTCTTGTTTGTCCCAAAAAAAAACATAGTATAAATAATGCTATTTCCCTTTCATTTTCTTTTTCTTTGAAAAATTCAATATCCAAACAAAGCCCAGCATAAATTGCTGCATTTTCCTTCAATTCCATCCTAGCCTAACAAATAGGCAATATGAATGTCTTAATTGCTGGACTAATTTCAGCATGAATTGCTGCATTTTCCTTCAATTCCATCCTAGCCTAACAAATAGGCAATATGAATGTCTTAATTGCTTGACTAATTTCAGATTATCACCAACCTTAGGATTTATGATTCATTATTTTACCAAAATGATTCATTCGATTGACGATTTGACAACAATCGATAAATCATTAATCACTTTGTTAGAGAATGATTAACCAATATAAAATTAAAGAACGATTAACCTACATAAAATGTAAACCATAATGATTGGCATTTACATATTTATGTACTATGTAAATAAAACATAGCATATAAAATGAAAAAATGCTTTTTATCTAGGAAAATTGGATCCAGCATTAGAAATTATTTGAAACAACTACAAGTGGCTAGAACTGTACCTTGTACAACTAGGAAGCGAAGGAAGAATGTGTGTACAAACTCAGACTTTAAAAATCTGGAAGGAATCGATGACGGTATGCAATTTGTCTTTCATCTTCTCCCACCTCCTCTCATTGGCCCCCGTAGTAACCGTGTAAAACCTCCCTGCATGAGAATGGCACTTTGTGAGCAACATAAAGACATCTGTATGGATTTAAAAGTTACAACACACTCCATAACATTTACAAGACAAGAAAACTACAACGCATAGCTTTCTAATAATTCGTTGCCCAGCTTTCTAATAATCAACTTTTTTCAGCTTATTTAAACTATTTTTTAATCATATAAGCTATACAAAGAAGCTGCATCAAACACTTAAAAATTTTCAAAATAAAAAAGCTATAAGTTGCTTCACACGGGGCCAATGTATTATATACAATGCACACAATATATTCAGCTTATCATAGATAAGTTCCGTACCATTGCCAATACAGATTGCACTGAGAGCATGGCGCGTATAGTTTGGAGCTTTAGCTATGAACTCAATTGTGTAGTAAGCGTTCCCATCAACATCATGCTATACATGACCCAAGGGTACTAATATTAGTCAAGATTTCATTACTTCTACTGAAGTGAGTCAGAAATGGAAATCAATACCACATACAGATAAAGATCAAAAATGAAAAAGATGAAGATTGGATCATAACAGTCGGATCCAACAATTATATTCCATGCTTTTTCCTGTTACAAACTTTTATAATGCATGTAAAAAAATAAAATAAAATAAAATAAAAAATAAAAAAAAAGTAGAGCAAAGCAATATCATACCTATCTGTGATGTCCATACGTTGCATATGAACATTCCTGTGGTCATTACATAACAGAAATTTGGAGGCATTCATACTACAAGTTGTTAGCTTGAGTGGTTAAAGGGGGAGGCACAGGGTTCAAGTCAACATGAGTGTTTGTCTTACTCATCAAAACATAAATGCATAATAATGGAACAAAGGGGCATTGTCAAAAGAAGTGCAGAGAGAGAGAGAGGGTGTTAAAAGCTCATCATATAGCCAATCAGTGTTTGGGTAACTAATTTTAAAGCTTATTTTAGTTCTTTAGCATTGGCATGTATTTAGTACTTTGGTTGAATTTTAGGCTTAAAGCTTGACGACATGAGAGATCGTTCAATTGACTCACAGATGTTCTAAGGAGGGGACAGAGGAAAGGCAGAAACTTTGGAATCTAATCTTACTATTATTTCAACTAGGATTTTGTATCGTCTATTTTGAATATTTATTCCTGTGTCTGCTGCCAATATCAATTTCATGCTCTTGATGCATTGCAGACATCTGTCTCGTTGTTTGTTTCCAGTTTCTTGTCCTATGTCTTACAGGCAACAATGAAAGCGTGAAGAATGTTGGTTTGGATGTTAAATAGTACAAGTCAACGACTTTGTTAAATAGCTTGATTGCCCATTATTACTTTGTTGTCCCCTCACTACATTGGGGTATGTCAACAATGGTTGCACCTCTCGGCATCTTTTCTGCAGAACTCCCTCTCTCTGTGTCTCAGTTCATGCATGTGTGCATTAAAGTGGAACAATGAACTAAAGCACCCTAGGGGACGAAAACCCACGAGATCCTCTGAAAGCAAGGAGGATTGCAGGAACAATACCTTGTTTATAAGGGAAAAAGATTAAGAGCACACTGATTTCTTTTTCCAAATTTTGCACGCCACAAAATGATAATACATGCAACAATCCATCGCAACTAGTAGGTAGGATGGAAACATTTTTCCGATTCTTTAGCAAAACCCACAAAAATACAGATGGCTAACCTCTGTTGCCTCAACTAGCTTAGTTTTCTGGGAAGGGGGAGCTAGAACTTTTTTTATTAAAGTTTCCGCAACCTGATGCCAACAAAGAATGAAAAGAAGGTATTATTGTTAGTACTACTTTATTGAAAAATGCGAGGAAAAGGAAAGAACATACACACTAAGAAAGTCAAGAAAAAATATTAGAACATATTGAGCCTAACTATTTTACACTGAAGACACTGGTTATGCACAAACCTCTTGTGGAGGCCCAAGGTCTCGAATGTCCTGTTTGTTTGTTGGAATCATAACGACACTGACACTTTCTAATGGTTCAATCACATCTTTAAATACCTTGTCTTGTCCTTCAATTACTACTTCCTGCCTCAAAACATACAGAAAAAATATATATATTAAAACAAAAACTTAAAACTATAATACAATCAAGAAAGCAATCTAATATTGAACATCCACTGAAACAAGAAGTGCATGAAACAAGGAATAACACATATAAACTATTTCATACTGATAAAAGATAAAAAATAGATATCCAAACCTGCCAACCGAAGGGATAGACAAATGAGTATCCATCCTTCTTGTCCGTGACTCCCAGGAATCCTTTTTTACTTTCTGCAGCAACTGAGCCATATCAAGGGTGTACTCTTAGGATATCAGCCATCGTTTTACAGAAATTAAAGCACTGTACGATTGGCAGGCATGCTTTTAATAGTACTTAACAGAAAAAATGACAAAAAAGAAAACAAAGAACTGTATACTTTAGAAAAAAAATGACAAAAAATTAATAAAATTAACATTTTATGCAGATTGGAAACAACAGCACTTACATGATGTGTATTTCGGGTTGGACAGCAAAACCCAAGGAGCAAGTGTTGTCCCCATGGCAATAAGTTGACGCCTCCCGGATCTATCTGTGAAAAGACAATCTGATGATAGTAATTTACATCATTAAACAGAGGATACAGGCATAGTGAATACAACAAGGAAATCATTTTTGTTGTTGACTCATACTCAAGTTGGGTAAACTATATGCATGCATAGAGAACGTGAACACCCACACCCACACCCACACCCAGAAAGTGTATTATCTAACCCAAAAAAAAAAAAAAAAAACACTTGATGAGAGGTAAAATACATTAGTGATATGTATCAAAAAATTAACCGCCGGTTTTTCCGGTTCTGGCTAAATACACCGGTTTTCAACTTTGGCCGGTTCAGAGGGTATGTCCGGACCGGAACCCCGACCGGTCGACGGTTCAACCGGTCGAACCGGCCGGTCCAGTCCGGTTTTTAAAACCTTGATGAAAACATAGTCTACATATTTATCAATTCATTTTATTGCAGGGGTACTGATAGTGCAGTCATTGTTCATGCCCACAAGGTGATCCATCAATTTTAGAACCTCAACCACAATAAACTGGAAAGCAACTACAGCAACTCATATATGGGAGAAGAAATGCATCAATTGCGGTGGATCCAGGCTATCTATCTATTGATTTTTAATCAGTAGAGACATTGTTGCATATTTTAAATTCTAATATCGTAGAACTAATTCATGATTTTAGATCACCTACATTTACAAATATGACAAAAAAGATTTAATAACTCAGATGGTGCAATCTCTACTCTCTTCTCTTATCTTAAAATTCATATAAATTTCGATAATGGAATAAAGTTCGATGAATTGTATGTATTACTTCTCGTTCTCGTTTTGCTTCAGACAATACCTAACTAATATGTTTATCAAATCAAGTAAAAACACAATTAGACAATCTGTCCAATCATGCTGCAATCACAGTGTAAGCTGGCTATCTAGACAAATAAACCGTAATGACTCCACATTTGTAAGTCATATGAATAATAAATCAAATTATGCAGATTTGGATAACATCCAGAATGCAAATAATTTTGTAGTTCCACCTTGATGAGATGAAGTTGGAGCAGCAGATATTTGCTCCGCCTTGACAAGAAATGAAATGCTTCTTTGAAATGGACCGTGCCGGTACATTCCTAGCTGAGGCATGAAATCCACCTACATAAAAAAAATAAAAATAAAAACAAGAATGAATTTTACAAAGTTCAACAAAGTATATCGCCATGATGGAGCCAGGTTGAGGAGTTAGAACCTGAGTAGACGCATTTGACAACCACGTCTGATGGATTGAAGGTGAATTTTGCAAAGACACCATCTTCAGAAGCTGTCTGCTGCAAAAAGCATACAAGATTCTAATTAGTTCCAAAAATGTTCAACCTAATCTTGCATCAGGAGGATATGATCGATTAGACAAGCATTTTGTAGCATTGGTTGGCCAAAAAAAGGAGTAAGTGATGCATCTGATTCCATAGATCCCAAAGGCAGGTGCTCGGCCAGTGTAAAAGAAGACAATAGCAACTTAGATGATAGCAATTAGCAATTAACAAACATTTGTCGGGCAGTGTAAAAGATCCCGCCCAAAGTTAATAAAACTGGACAAGAAATTGAACTAGAACAATGTCTGGTTTCAATGTTTTGGGTCAAACCAGTTTTTTAATTGGGCAGATAAAACACTGAGTTGCTTGGTTTCAAGACCTTCCTTTAGTATCATCGGATCCTTATCTTTTGTCACAAAAATTATTACAATCACTTTTAGTTATTAGAGTTTATAGAATAATTAGAATCAAACGTGGTATTTTATGTAAGCTGCCAAGAATGAAGAAACTAGAACGATTCACTGATGCCTAAGGTCATGGAAAGGACCAATACACTTAGAATGTCAGCAAAATGTTGGGTTCAGGCCAAAACTACCAACAGACCAATACTATGTGCTCCGAAAGGAAAGTTGGATGACTCCATAGAATGTTTTAATGAAAATAACAATGACAGCCACAAGTCCATTTGTTTGTATTGGCACTTGGAGGTCTATTTTAACATATAACTTCTAAGCCTATCCTAATAGCTTACCTATCCAACTAGGTGACAAGACTCTGCAACCCAGCACTACAAGGTCCAGGAAGGGTCTTGAGAGGGGCACTTGCGCCGAACAGTAGGGCCGAGCTATGATAGCGCAGGTATGGTGTTGGGCCTTGCGAGGGCCAGGCCCTGTGTCAGACCGAGCTGAACCAACGCGGCTCCCCAACCCACCACGTTGGGCCGAGCAGATCATCGACCAGAATGTAAAGGCATGCAGGTGCTCGAACGAGCTACGATTCGGCCTGATATTCGGTTAGATCCGCAGTGATGCGTTGGGCCGAGCTGCGGACAGTCCAGATTGAATTTGGGCCGAGATGTTTTGTAAGGTAGCGGGGCGAGACCGAGCTACCAAACTGCGCGTCTCACGACCAGTCAGTTCAGATGGACCGATTTAGCATAGTTCGACCGTCCCAGTTATTGTGGTGTTTCTCCCCAAGTGGTAGGTCGGTCTTGATAGCCCGGTTGTGTGAGCCACATGGACCAATGATATGATGAAGGGAAAATCTACTCCTGGTATGCGTCAATACCGTTTGGCGGTCCGACAAACACTGTTTGGAGGTTTTGGTCTCTACACGCGTAAGGAAGGTAGAAGGGAGCACAGCCGCCTGTCCAGGGAAGGACAGCAAAGGTAGTGGGCCCACAATTTCTGAGGCTGCATGGCCAGCCTAGAAAAGGAGAAATGGGGGAACGTTAGAGGTAAGCAACCTGAAGGAATTGATAACTCTCTCTCTCTAAAGTGCTCTATTCCCATTCTTCTTCTTCTTCTCCAAGTGTGCTGACTTGACCAACGGAGGGTTTATCCGACAGCACACCGCCGGGGCAGCTCACCATCTTTCTGTTTTCAGGTCAAGCGACGTTACGTGAAGCTTGAGTTCGAGGAGTACGGAGAACGGAGGATATTTCACCCTCGTACAATTGGCGTCGTCTGTGGGAAAACTTTGACAGACAAACCTTGCACTTCAAGCTTTTCCAATCATTTCCATGGCTAACAATAACGAAACTCCGTTGTCCGTTAAAGATGGCCCTCCTGCTATTCCGATTATGGTGAGCCTGGAGACCTCTTCCAGAGGTGCGCGAGACAAACGCGCAAGGAGCACTGATCACTCAAAGAGTCCAGAGGGTCGCCAACGACAGGGAGAGTCGCATGCTCAGCGCTTGAAGCACTAACTCAGAGATCAGGACACCCTCATTCGCAAGATAGCGGCTGAAATGGAGGCGCTTCAGCGCCAGATCAAGGGGAAGGGTGTTGCTGGAGAGGGCAACCACAGTGAGCACACCCCGCCCCCTCGCTCTAGCAGTCGCCGCCAAGATAGGACGCCCTCTCTCTCTATCACCAAAAGCTATGGGGTTGGGGACTCCGACCCACAGGTGGGGAGATCTTACACTCGCGACAGCAGCTACCGTCCCTCACGTCCATCGACAACGAAGAGATACTCTTACCCTGCCTGTTCGGGGGACCTGAGGGATGCATTGAAGGAGCGGGCCCGCTGTAGAGAGACCTAGAGATTACCAGCATTGCAAAGGCTGAGTCCCCAAATTCGTTGTAGTGAGGAAGTGGCAATGCCAGCGCCTAGAGTGATGGCACTAGCGCCGGTGGACAGAGAGCTAGCGAGACTTACCGCAACCCCACTGTCCCCAGAAATCGAGAGCACGCTGCTCCCTGTCGGATTCCACCAACCTAAGTTCATGTTATACGACGGCAAGATGGATCCGTACATGCACGTGAGTCATTACCGGCAAGGAATGGCTAGCCACCGACGCAATGACTCCTTGATGTGCCTCATATTGCCAGCAAGTGTGGAAGAACTGGGCCTGAAATGGTTCGAAAGGCTTCCGGAGGGGAGCATCGAGGGATGGCAACAATTAGCAGAGGCCTTCATTACCAGATTCAAAACCAACACTAGAACACCGAAGGAGGTCGACCATCTCTTGAGCGTCAAGATGGAATCTGGAGGCTCTTTGAAGACATACAATGCTAAGTACTGGGAAACCTACAATGAGATTCTCGATTGCCCCACCAATTTGGCTATCACCCAATATAAGCAAGGTCTCCCAGTCGGACATAAGCTGCGAGATTCGCTTACGATGCACCAGCCCACAACCATGGAATCCTTGATGCAACGGATCAACGAACACATCCGAGTAGAGGATGATGCCACCACCGCAACCGAGAAGGCGAATCTGGTGTCGGCGGACAGAAGAGTGGCAAGAAAGGTTCACTCGGTGGAACAGGAGGATAACTGTGATAACCCTATTCCGTATTATGCTAATTAGTCTTAATTATGATTGTGATTATGTGTTTAATATGATTTTGGGTGCCACTTATATGATTATATGTGATTTTGAATTTCTATCTGTTCACCGTAAGAAAATCTGTTCAACTTACTGATAGGAACTGAAAATTGAAGGCCTTATCGACTACAGAAAACGAAATTAACTATGCCATTGTGATTAGCATAACTTTTTAGTGCCTACAGTGAAATTTAATTGAAAATTGATTTGAATCGAAATAATTAGATTCATAACAATTAAATTAGGCTAAATTACTTAGCCTTAATTAATTTGATTAGCCAAGCCTATAAATAGGCTTATATACACTCAATTCCTCTCTTTGAACTCATTTGGCTAAGATTACACCTTAGAGAGAGAGTGAGAATGCCGAATTTAGAGAGAGATGGAGCTCAAGATAGAGGATTGATCAAGAAGCTTGGGAATCTTGAAGATTAACTCAAGAATTAGCTATAATTTGGAGAGTTGGAACTCCTAGGTGAGTAAATTCATGAGTTGAGTTTGTAATTTTGTGGATTCAAAGTAAGATGGTGACCTAGAACATAAAGTAATTTGAAGTCAATGAATGCATGCATGTAAGAAATTGCCATGAATTTGTATCTTTGAGCATGAAATATATGATCAATGTTGAATTTTGATTAAAGTTCATGCTTTCAAGCATCTCTACATCATTTAAGTTGAGAATGAAAGTTATATCCCACATGCAAGTACAATTCATGGAGTTATGAGTTATGATGTGCATGAATCTGATGTGTTGGAGATGGATTTGGTATAATTTGAGTATGCATGTAATTGATTCATAGGATTTGAGCTTCATAAGGTTGTAATTTTGCATTTGTATCATGTTAGCGGATGTGTATGTGAAGTATGAGTCATAATATGCAAGTTACATTAGTTTGAATACAAGTTTGAAGCTCAAACAGCTTGCTGGAAAACCCAGAATTCGGCATGTCCGCTCGAGCGGAGTAATGGCCGCTCGAGCGTGAAATGCTAGTTCCCAGAAGTTTTGCAGACATTGATGTCCACTCGAGCGGGGAGATTCACGCTCAAGCGTAAAAGTGAGACAACCAGTACTTTTGCAGACCAAAGGGGTCCGCTCGAGCGGCAAAATCCACGCTCGAGCGGGGAGCCCTGTTTCAGAAAATTTGTAAAGATATTTTGTGTTTCATTTTCCGTTCTCTTTCATTTCTAAGTACTCTTAGGCATACATTAAGCATTGTAAATGAGTTAAAAGGATAAGAAAGAAGCCTAAGAAGGATGTATGAATTAAGGACGGATTGAATCGTTTGTGACCCATTATGTTCATGAAATATGTAGGGTCAAGCACGAGAGCAAATCTACCGGCAGATCACTGTGAGTAATATCTTAGTAAAGATATTTTGAAGTACGTTATTTGTCCTATTGCTTATTCCTTTATAAGTCTTATAAGCTTGTTAATTTGAATTGTGGACAAATATTTGTTTTGCTATATGATTGGGCCAAAGGCCGTTTGACATGAATGATTTGGCCAAAGGCCGTCGGATATAAACGATTGGGCCAAAGGCCGTTGGACATGAATGAATTGGGCCAAAGGCTGTCAGATACAGACGATTGGGCCAAAGGCCGTTGGACATGAATGATTAGGCCGAGGCCGTCGGATATAAATGATTGGGCCAAAGGCCGTTAGACATGAATGATTGGGCCAAAGGCCGTCGGATATAAACGATTGGGCCAAAGGCCGTTGGACATGAATGATTGGGCCAAAGGCCGTTGGACATGAATGAATAGGCCAAAGGCCGTCGGATATGAGTGAATTGGGCCTGAGGCCATTTGATACATCTAAAACTTTTGTCGTTTGATACATTAGATAGAAACATGAATTGGGCCCAAGGCCGTCTGATGTAACTGTTTCAAAGTTCGTTCATGTATCTTCTCTACTTGATATTATTCACTGGGCTTTCGCTCACTCTCATTCATGTGTCTGTTG